TCTTGCCCTCCCCTCTCTTGTACATACAGACATGCCAAATATGAAATTTTGTCCAGATCATCTTTCAGAGTCTAGGTTAACTGCTGTTGCTTAGCATTGCAATCTCTCTTCCTTGAGTCATCAGTTGGAACTATTTGTATCTAGTTATTTTATATGCAAAAGATACACTAAAGTTGATGGTGTATCCAGGATGCAAAACAAAACTCTGGCTTTCATTGGGGATTCACTTGGTAGACAGCAATTTCAATCACTTATGTGTATGATTACTGGTGGAAAAGATAGACCCAATGTTCTTGATGTGGGGCATGAGTACGGTCTTGTCCAATCTCGTGGTTCTGCTCGACCTGATGGATGGGCTTATCGATTTCCAGACACCAAAGCAACTATTCTTTACTATTGGTCTGCTAGTCTCTGTGACTTGACACCCATAAATCCGTCCGACCCTGCTACTGATTTCGCCATGCACCTGGACCGTCCTCCAGCATTTTTGAGTCATTTCCTTCCAAGGTTTGATGTCCTTGTTCTGAACACAGGACACCATTGGAATAGAGGAAAGCTTAAGGCCAACCGGTGGGTTATGTATGTTGGCGGTGTTCCTAATAAGAACAGGAAGATTGCAACTATTGGTGGTGCCAAGAATTTTACAATTCACAGTATTGTCAACTGGGTGAACTCACAGCTGCCAAAACACCCTCGTTTAAAAGCATTTTATCGGTCTATATCGCCGAGACATTTCTTTAATGGAGATTGGAACACTGGAGGGACTTGTGACAACACTACTCCACTTTCTGGTGGGAAGGAAGTTCTACAAGATGAATCAAGTGACCCTGATGCAGCCGCGGCTGTAAGAGGAACAGCTGTTAAGCTTTTGGACATCACTGCTTTATCCCAGCTGAGAGACGAGGGTCATATATCTCGATACAGCATCAAAGCAACACCTGGAGTCCAGGATTGTTTGCATTGGTGCTTACCTGGTGTTCCAGATACATGGAATGAAATTCTTTTTGCTCAACTTTAACATACCTAAACTGGCAGATGACAGTGTCTAAAGTTATTTTCCATTTGCCGGTCAAAGGAATGGAAGTTGGCAAATGATGCAGATACTACACGAATAATGTCTGGTTGATTTTACTTATTGGAGCTGGACAGCTTGTGTTCAGGAGGTTGATTCATGGATAATGTCTGCAGTATTTGCATGTGTTCATCGACCATTTTTTAGGAGTAGATGACATATACATTATTTGTAGACAATGGAGATGCTCCGGCATTTTACTGATTGGACAACATGCAGAGAACTACCGCCGCTGCATTATCATATGTTAGAGACTAGGCTTTTAGGATTGGAAGAGAGCTCGACCCTTGATTTGTACACTGAATTCAACAGGAGTTTGTACTATTAGAAAGATGAGAAAACTATCCAATTTTTTTCTTTTCTGGCAATCAAGTGATACTTAAATGTTTCCATATGCTTATGATCAAGATCATTAATCTCGAGGAAAGTCGAGCAACCTGATTAACTTTGGAGGGCACAAACGTAAGACTTAACTCTTCCTTGCTATTAGTGAATCGCGTGTGGCAATCTGTTGCAGTTTTGTAAGTATTTGCCTATCCAGTGCCAATCAGTGGCATTTGTGATGTATAATATCAACTTTTGTTCTTTGTTGTGCAGGTTTTTGAGAATTGTTAATAGTACTTTATAATGTTAGATCTAATTATTCTCTGTATTCAGTAGTTTTGAGGTACAGTTTCTGCAGTGTCCCCCTTTTGACGTGCTGTGGGAACATATTACTGGAGTACATGCTATGTTGCTCGGACTCTTCAAACATGCTACCGGGTGTGTCAAAGCCTTCAAAAGTTGTATATTTTTGGAAGATTCGACACGAGTGCGGCAACGTTTTGGGAGAGTCCGAGCAACATAGCATGTAGTCCCGTAATACTTTTTCTCCATAATCACTATGCCAGACGATTCCTCACAGCATCATTCTCCATTCTGCTAATCAGCTGATTATAATGGTAATATAAATTAAGTTTTTCTTTTTAAACAAAAAATTTGGACTTTGCTTAAAGTTTACCTCTCTTTCTTCACATGCTATAGACCTCCATACAGAAGACCTCCCGTCAAACACACCATTTGTTCAAATGCAATCACATCAAACTTGTTGCCACTGCTTCTTTTCATCTTTTCTTGGCTGGTTTATCGGAAACAATTTTTCTATCTTTCCAGGATAGGCATTGGGTTTGCTGTTGTTATTATTGCAATCACGCCAAACTTTGTCAACCAAGAAAAGTGCCATTATATTTACCCAAGGAAAAAAATTTCAGAATTTTTTTCTAAAAATTCTGAACTTGGTTATGCTGATACAGGGTCTACATCTTGTGCTAGAAATAAGGCAGTAATGCCATTGAAGCTTGTTTGGCTCTAAGACAGAAAACACTTTTTTTTTCTTCAAAAAAATACTTTTTTTTCAAAGTTGAAGTGTTTGGCAAAACTTTTAAAGGAAAAAAAAAGCGCTTTTGAGTAAAAGCGGAAACATTTTTTGAGAAGCATAGAAAAGTAGCTTCTTCAAAAGCACTTTTTAAAAAAGTACTTTTGAGAAAAATACACTTAAAAGCACTTTTTAATTTTTTTTAACTATAAACTCTTCATTAATTGCCAAAGTATCATGCCAAAATTTCACGGTATAGCCAGTTTTCAGACTGGTCAATCAAAAATAGCCAGCGTTTACCAAGTCAATGAAAAATAGCCACCGTTTTGTTGCAATAGAGATCGGTCCAGCATAATATACTGGAGTTCGGTGCACTTATATATGAACTCCAGCATATTATGCTGGACCGGTATAATTTGCTGGCTCCAGTATAATATACTGGAGACTGGAGCACTGGTGCTCCAAACTTTAGTATATTATACTGGACCATTATACTTGCTGGAACTCCAGTATATTATGCTGGAGTTCTAGTGTATTTATGCTGGAACTCCATCATATTATGCTGGAATTCCAGCATACTATCCTGGAACTCCAGTATAATATGCTGGAGTTCAAGTATACTTATGCTGGAACTCCAGCATAATATACTGGAGTATTTTCCGGGTTTTGAATAGTGTTTTCGCTCAGATTTATCTTTACATAAAAAGTGGCTAAATTTTGATTACTTTTGAAATTGGGCTATTTTTGAACGACCAGTTATAAATTTGACTATTTTTAAAAAACACCCTCATGTATCATGTACAAAATGAGCTAGACTTTATAACACAGTCTGCTTTGCTTACAGTAACTATCAAGAGCAACTCACTTTAATACTGAAAGACCTTTCTATCTATGTTTACTCTCTCCTTCCTATTTAAGGAATCTACACTTCTGGAGTAGTATCTTAGTGGTATCATTGGCTCTAACGTGACATGTATATGCGATCTCTCTAGCTATTGTTTCACATGTGCTGTCCTTCTGGGCAAACAACCTGTTTGTTCCTTTTTATCCAAACTACACCAGCTTCATTTTTTAAAAGCTTGGCCAAATACTAATTGCTGTTCAAAAGTGTTTTTCAAAGTAATTCGTCAAATACAAATTACTTCTCACCAAAACTACTTTTGAGAAAAACGCTTTTGAAAAAAAAAACACTTCTCAAAATAAATTAATTTTAGAAGCCTGGTCAAACAAGCTATAAACCTTCAAAAAAACTATTTACAGTAGCATAAATCATATTGTTACATTGCTCGAGCTTGTAGCCAAATTTCTATTACACACTTCTCCTTCTAGGGAAAATAATATACAGACAATGTGTCGATTTTTTATAAGATTAGTAATTTTTAACTATGATAGGAGATTGCTTATCATTTTTACCTCGTTACCTATTTTTGTTTATCATAATGATATTTAACTATAATTACCCAATACATTCACTGATTATGTAACATTTTTACATTGTATGGATAGAATTTAAATTCAAACATAAAACCAACAACAATAACGGTAGAAGCTTTCGTCCTATAAATCAAACCCAGGTTAAACAAACCGTATTATCGACAAAAAGAAATAATTCTTCTCCAATCTATTTACATGTCCTAAAAATTCTATACACTGTTACATACTTCTTCCATTCAATTTTTATAATATCATTACCATTTAGAGAACCAAATATTTATTATTTGACTATAATTATTCATATATTGTTAAATATCTCTAATTTTAAAAGATCTCAATTTGTTGTACTTTAATTCACCTCGCTCTAAAATTACTGGAAAAGTTCCATAATGTAACATAATGCATATTTAACATTAATGTTAATGTTATCTTTTAAAGGAATAAAATAAAAAAAGGGGCACTTGCATTTTCCTTTATTTTTCCATATGCAGTAATTTCAAGATTCCCTTCAGCGGAATTTTTTCCTAAAATATGTACTTTTGACTTGCACCCAGGATTGTGTAGTTTTTGGGAGAATGCCAAATAATATACAAAATGAGAGTGCGTTTGGTATGAAGTATTTTTTGATTTTTTTTTGTTTAGTTGGCTTAAATATTTTAAAAAATATTATTATGAATATATTTTTCTCCAATTGGAGGAAAATGACTTCCCTACCAAAAGGAGGAAAAATATTTTGTAAAATTCTTTGTTAACTTTTCCCACGCTTGCATATCGGCATCCTACCCCACCTCGCTCACCCCCCTATCACCCACGCTATCCTCGCCACCAGCACCCTGATGCCTTTACCTATATCGTCTCTCATAGTATTTACCTACATATATTCTTCAAAAAAATATTTTCTGCTTTCTAATCAAATACCAGAAAATAAGAAAATCACTTATTTTTCAAGTAGTATATATTTTCCAAAGCAAATATTTTCTTTAATACCAAACACACCCTTAAGAATAAAGGGTAGCATGAAAAAATGGTGACTTCTATAGCGCATAGTAAATGGACTTGTAAATCGTAAATAACAAATGTTTTATAATTCGCAAATAAGGATGTGGCTTAAAAATGCGACTTATAAATCGCATATGTTCAATTGCATACTAAATGCAATTTGTAATCGCAAGTATTCTGCCGTTCGGCAAATGAAGTAATGTGGGCTCAATAACCTACATTAACCTTCAATTCCTTCACTGCTTCGTCCGAGAAAAAGCCCTAATCAAAATCTTTTGATTTTCAGGTATTTTAAACAATCCATTGATACTATGTATCGTTTTTAAGTTATGAGCATTGATATATAACAAGGATTCCCTTTTTAAAAAAATATAGATTTTGCTCAATTTGAGTTTTGAAAGCTTCTATTTTCTTCTCTTTTGAAAATCTGAGCTCCCTTTTGTTGATTATAATCTTGTGGTGTTAATAGTAGTTTTGAATTTGCATTATTTTGTGGTTTTGAGTTTGTACTTTGTTCCGAAAGTTAAATTTCCTCACTCGAATTAGCATTTTCCAGTAGATGACACTAATAACAGTGAGCTCTTTGTTTCTGTAAACACTCCACATTTTTATGGCCTTTTTCATTTGGTCTTTGCAAAAGATTGCCTTTTCCCCCATTTCTCTGCTTCACATGTTGCCATATAGTACTCTTTGTCTAGCACAGCTTTTGTCAAGAATGGAATATTGTGGTTGTCAATTGCCATTTGGTTTAGCACTGCTTTTGTCAAGAATGGAATATTGTGGTTGTCAATTGCCATTTGGTTTAGCACCAATATTGGTGAGTTCATATTGCCAATTGAGAACTCAATAGTCGCCCCAGCCTATCATCAAATGTCCGTCCATGTGTTACTGGTAGCAATTGAGTGAAAACCCATTGAGAATTGATAAGTTAAAGGAATAATGGCTGCCCTTTCATGAAATGATAAAGCCTCTGTAGCAACAAACATTTCCAGTGCATTAATCCTCAAGTTCACATAGTCACAATTCAGGGGTGCATTTTAGTACAAATATTCTATAGTACAAATATGCTCCACATGTCAGGAATCTCTGCATATCAGGAATATCGCAAGCCTTGAGTGCGTTTCAATTAATCGCAATTTTTAATTGCACTTAGAGTACGAATACTCTCTGCAGCATGGTCAGAGTCTGGAAAGAGCAAAATAAAAAAACGTTCAAACACTGAGACCTAAAAGTTGCGAATTCTAAATGAGCTTCATAAGTTGCATTATGACATTGAGTGTTATAAGACTCATTTAAAGAATGCAATCTGAGCTAATGTCACTCCTTGTTGGCTCTTTACATCAGTAACTTAGGACGCATGAACATCGCATTCCATGTATGATTTTTGCGTATTTTGCTATTCTCAGAATAACTACATATTCCTGGAATTTTGCAGTCAACGAGCGCACACTTGGGGAAAAACATCCCTTCATTCTTTCCTTCAAGAAGAGCCAAAGGGCTAAAGGGTGTAACTTTCTCTAGCTTGTTTTTGCAATCAACAATATGCCAATTAAATGGTAATGATTCTTAAACTGTACAAAAAAGTAACATTTTCTACAGATTTTTGTGCATTTGCTTATATTTATCTGTACACCGTGTTACTTTGTCCGTCCCTAGGGTTTTGCACTGGCAGCCAAATGCAGGCACAACAGTCAACACTCAAATACTAACAGAAGTATCTCAGTGTGTTGAGAGTATAAATGGGGTTAAAGAAGGAAGGTGGAAAGCTACTCTTAGCTTCTACAAACCGATGCTCCGAGGTATTTGCTTACATAATTATCCATATAATCTATTTAACACATGCTAGTATTATCTTTGCATTCTTTTTTGTTTGTACCTGTGTTTTACTATAAAGGGGTGGATTTTTCCTCTGAATTCATTAAAAAGATTGGGGTTTTAGCATTTTCTGTTGATACCTGTGATTTTCTATAATTCATCAAAAAGATTGGATTTTTAGGTAGGTTTTATCTTCAGTAACGTAAATTATGTATAAGCAAAGTAGTTTGGAAATTTGGGTCCGAATAGAGCAGAATGGTTATGAAGGATCTTTTTTTTTGGGGATAAAGTAAAAGTTTATTCATGTACCAACCTGTGATTTACTATAAAGGGGTGATTTCCCCCCTCTGAATTCATTAAAAAGATAGGATTTTTAGGTAGGTTTTCTCTTCTGTAAGATAAACTATTTATAAGCCAAGTAGTATTGAAATGATTTGGAGGATTCATCTAGCTGACACTAACTGTGTAGTTGATTGATTGATGGATTGTTCCTCTTCCATAAGGCAGGCTTTTGGAAGAGTGTTAAACTCGCGCAGGAGCATGAGTAAGAAGAATTTTACAAAGATAAGATGGGAGGGGTCAAACAGCCTCTCTGCCCCTATCGGGGCAGGGGTAAGGTCTGCGTACACATTACCCTCCCCAGACCCCACTATGTGGGATTTTACTGGGTAGTTGTTGTTGTTGTTGTTGTAAGATGGGAGGGGTCAAGAGGATGTAAAGATTTACAGGGTAAAAAATTGAAATGAAATTTTAGGGCGAGGAATTAAAGATTTATAGGGTAAAAGATTGAGAATGAAAAGTTAGGGCTCTCATTGAGCAGCCTTTTGTAAGGCTGAAAACTTGTCCTTTGGAAAAAAAGAGTGGTCCTTTTAGGCAATATAAAACAGATGCACACAAGCATTGACATATATGTTAGTGATAAGCTTAAGCTATTCATTCTCAGGCTAGTTAGGCTTGATAATGTTGTGCACATGTGAACCTGCTTCAACCTTGCATATCATTTTGTTTTATAATCGAAAAATCTCCCGAGGTTCGGGACTCGATGTATAATGGGCCCACCCCTCTACTTTTTTCAACTTAAATACCTAGCTTTCCTGTGACATGCTTTGAACATGTATGTATGTCTAACTTACACATCACACGTTGCCCTCCTCGTATCACTAGGATAAATCCCGGGGGGCAACTTTGCATGTCATTTTTATGAGTACTTTTGCACCTTTATAGGAGATATGATCGTGGAGTGACCTTTTTTTTTCTTCCTCTTAGTAGAACAAGCAAATGCATTGGAGTTTCCCCGTGATTTTTTGGGTATTTCACTTCAAGAACAGCCCAACAAGTATTACTTTGTAATTAGAGGGCAACGGTTGATCTTGGAAGCAGAGTCATCAATTCAGACGATAATGGAGAAGTTGCAGTCTTACAAAACAAGGGTTGCACTTAATTTTGAGGTTTGTATTACGATCTGCAAATTGTTGTTCTTACTGCAGGAGGATGATTAACTTATCTAGCACCATCCACAGTCTTGGCTTTGTAAATTAAATGTCTATAAGTGATATTATCCGTATTTACTGTGCTTTAATGATTTGGAAGATTGAAGAACTTCCCCACTTTAATAAAATTATTTACCTAGTTAATAAAAGTGAAGATTGAAGAACTTCACGATGATGACTGAATACATATGTGGGCCCTTAAAATTGCCCGAATTGTTCATTAGACACCTGAACTAATGATTGTACCTATTGAATGCTTGAACTCGAGCCAACCTGTATCTATTAAACACAATAAACTGACATGGCACAAGATGTGAGTCTCACTTCTCTTGAGCGCGTGAACACAGTAAAAATGAGCTGATATGGATTTTCTCCTTCCTCAAATGTCTTTATAATTCCTTTCTCATCTCCCTCAACAAAACAAGACCATCTTCCTGTACCAGATGTACTCACCAAAAAAAGCTCCATTCCTTTGTTCCATTTCTCTCAAAGTCACCACTCTATAGAGAACCTTCTCAATTTGCACCTTTTCCATAATCCAAGACAGTCCATTCCTTAGTATTCTAAAAAAATACAGCTATATTTTCAAGGACTTAAGATATGAAATAAAAAACTTTGATCTTAGATTTGGAACGGGAGATTGGACACCTGCCATCCTTGAAATATAAATTATTTATATTTTGTACCTTCAAAATTTAAGTAATCAAAACGCAGTAGTTTTAACTTTTACGGGTTAAGGATGAAAAGCAGTGGCTTATACTGGTTTTTGAGGTAAGGCCTTTGTCCTTTAATTGATGGAACAGAGCATCACTTACATTTCAAAGTATAAGAATGGGTCTGCTAGAGTTTGGAAAGAGAGAGAGAGAGAGAGAGAGATGACTGATGGAATTGGGTTTCACCGGAGTTTGACTTCCAGCGAGTTCCTTTCCTTTAAAACTGATTGGTCTTCTACAGCGAGAACTTAGAGGAAAAAAAATCCAAGGAGAAGATGGAAGGAAGGAGAAGGGTGAGTGTCTTCTGTTAGATCTTGAATGTTGCTGGTTCTGATTTTAATGGTGAAAAGAGATGAGAAGCAGTTGCTTTTTTGGGAAAAAACAGAGTTTTCTCCTTTTGATTTTGGCTCAATCTTTTTTGTCTCTTTTATTTTGATAATTTGGGATTAATTGCCACATGGCTTTCTCTCAGTGTCTTCTTTGCTGTGTCACCAGCATGTGAAACACACGCATGTATGTTCTTAACTGTTTCAACACATCTGTGTCTAATAAGTACAGTTTGAATAGAGATCAAACGGTTAATAGGGCATGAGCTTAGTTTAAGTGTCTAAATAAAAAATCCTGACAAGTTTAGGTGTCTTCACTAGGTAGAGGTAAGGTCTGAGTTCACGCTACCCTCCCCAGACCCCACCTATGGGAATATACTGGGTTTATTGTTGTTGTTGATGACAAGTTTAGGTGTCTTCAGCCTAAAATAAAGTTTCAATTCTTAAATAATTGTCTTATCCAGTTGGGTGGCCATTGGCCAGCTATACCTTTTCAAACAGGACTCATTTTTGAACTGGCCAAGCCGGACGCTTCAGTGTTGTCATCAAGGCTCTAAGGCACACTTTCCCTTGCCAATGAGCGTCATCCCGAAGAGACTTCACTAAACAATTGATATTTCACTTTACCATAAATTTTCTTCAATTTCTTTGTCCATATATTTGGTATTCATGCTTATAGATATTAGTCTTGGACTACACATACATATTAGTAGTTTTTCTTCATTTGCGCATTTCTTTATTAAAGCCCGCCTTTATTTGCGCTTGCGCTTAAAGCCCATCAGACCTTAGAGCTTTTTTGCGCTTTTTGGTTTTGGTAATCTCTATGGTGATTCTTAGAAGATAATTTTCCATACTTTGGTTTATCCTTCAGAATTCTAAAAAAAGAATTTACTTAGCACTACTTCATAATACTCATTAAAATATTTGACTTGCAATAGGGGTTTCAGTATCAACTTGGTGACTTCCAGCTGCGAGTGGGCAAAGTTGTTCCAATCCACTCTGAGAGCTTGAGGGGAATAGTTATGGAGGTACGAAATAAGTTTAGATATTTATTCTCAGTTGAATGCTTATTATGTGGTTAAGACTTTCTTGGAACATAGCTATGTAGGGTTTTTGTGGTCTATTGTGCTTGTTATTCTTCATGGAGAGGAATTGACCTATTGTGCTTTCCTAAAATAATTACTACTTCTGTCCTTTACTTAATGCTAAAACATGGACACATAAACATATTTTCACTTAAGACTTCAGTAGTGCTGGTTTCTGGAAACAGCCTCTCTACCTGTAGGGGTAAGGTGTGCGTACTATCTACTCTCCCCAAACCACACTTGTGGGACTATAGTGGGTTTGTTGTTGTTGTTACTTCAATAGTGCTGGCTGAAGGAGTTTGAGTCCTAATTTTTATCCCATTAAAAGTAAGTACAATGGAATGGATTGAATCAAGTCAATAGTTGTTGGTGTCTCTGGGGGTCTGTGATGCTGTGTGGGGACTGGGGACTATCTTGTTGATCTTATCTATTAAGGTTCTGAAATGCTGACATGAGATAGTGACTATCTTATCAGTATGCACTATTAGATGGATATCATTTGATGTTGCCTAAGTTCATGGTCTACCTTATAGTACAAAGAAAGAATGATGAACTTTTCTGGGTTTATAGTTTTAGGAACATAACTTCATGTCACACTTCACTTTGAACCCCAAATAGTCCACTAGTAGGCTGTTTCAGGTTGGTTCTATTTTAGGTAGAATTAGGAGATGAGGAAAGAGAAGATAGGCGATGAATGTTGGCATGAAGAAAATTACTTTATATATATCAAATACACAATGGACGTTCTTTTCTTTTCCTCTCCTCCCATTATCTTCAGCATGATCTCACCCTCCTTCTTTCTTCTGATCTTAGTACGTGTTAATTGGGTGTTCTTAACTTTGCAGTGGTTTTCTCCACCTAGTTTTTGCATTGTGACAGTAGTTCATAAATTTCAAGCAGTTCTATGTTATGACTTATGAGCATGCTGGCCTCACAAGTTGTTTGTTTCTTTTGTAGATGGAATATCTTCCAATTTCCTCATGGGAGAAATCGCACCAGATTATGGGTGAATTCTTCGACATATGGCAGGAAGCTCTTGCGAAAAGATCATTACCAGGTCATTTCGTGCACATTGAACCAATTTTGTCAGAGTTTGGACTCTCTGATCAATATACTTCACAGCACACAGCTGTACAGTATGCGAGCATTATGGCTCAAATGATAGCTACAGCTCAATCAGCACAAGCTGTGAGAAATTAGATTTTAGCATAATATTCTGTTGACAATATAAGATTTTAGCTATGTACCTGTTGTATTCTCACAACAAAAAGATAAAAGCAATGGTTTTCCCTTTAGCTCCAGACACCAGTTGATTATGATGCTGCTACTACTGCCTTACATATAAAACCGACGTTAAAGACAGATCTGAATATTAGGAAACTAAAGTGTTTCGTCGTTTTAATCATTGGCCTCAAGCTGCATAGAGATTGCTTTTGTAAATTGTCTGTTGTACACTTTATGTTCAGAAACAGATCGGGAATATGCACGTAGAAGGTGATGTCTATACATAGCTTCTTTTTCTTTTATTGGGTGATATGAAAGGAAAATGTTTGCTTTTGTCTCAAGTGCAAGAATAAGGAAACAGGATTGTACCAGAGATGGAAAAAACCCTTTTCTGGGTCATTTATTAAACTTGAAAAGTTGAGACTCCCATCACCATAACCCTAATGCCATGTGGCGTCTTCCTAGAATATCTTGAAAAGGCGATGTGAGGCAAGGCAAAGCAATCTAACTCGTGATCATTTTTCACGCTTAATGTTTGTATCAAATTAATAAATATAACAGAATTGTACCAAATATCGAGTATGATTGAATAGTCAAGGTGTATCACGCACTTACATTTATTTTGTCGTGCTACCTCCTATTGACATACCGACATCAAAGGCTGATCGATATTTTAATCATTGTTGATCAGCATAAAGAATGTACAAATAATTTACGCGAGTACTATTTTAAGAATGTCAAGTAACCGATACAATTAAGTAGAACATTTGTGTTTGCTGATATGTTGGGTTGTACTAGAGATGAAATAGAGTAATAGACTTTAAGCCAGCAACATCACAAGTTGGATCTTGAAGCTTTGGAAACTAAATTTATCTATTGATTCTATCATTAAACATTAAACCCTACTACTATAAGCCTAATTATTACTTAATCATTTTGAAGCCAAATGACCATATACAGTCAGGCTTCGCTATAACAGCATCCCTATATAACAACACTTCATTATAAAAGCCAAGATTTTTCGAAACCAATTTTTATCTTATGTTATAATATATATTTTCTATAACAACACTTTGCTATAACATCCAAAAATATTTGGAAGGGACAAAAGAAAGATCTTGTTGTTTCTTCAACAATTTCTGATCTCTAGTGGACCTCTCAGTAGGATTCGAACCCAGGTGAAGTTCTGACCATCTATCAGAGAAAAAAGAACGAACCGATCTTGTAGGATTCCCAAGAAATTCTTCGATTTCTTCCGGAAACAGATGATTAATCATCTGCTTCTCACGTTCCGTGAATAGCCGGGACATTGAGGAATATCCAGAAAGGCATTTCGGGAATCGGCCTGATTCTATCTCTTTTCGTTCCGTTTGAAGAAAGGAAGGATCCCAAAGAATCGATCTTTCTTTTCGTTGTTGAATCTCTCTTTGATTAATCAATGTGTGATATTCCGAATCCTCATTACTAATGGAATCCAAATGATCTCTGGATTGATCAACGAGGCTGTTACAGAGAGGTTTGATTGTAGTAGTTTGTCTATATCTCGTCGTATTTCATTTGACCTAGTTGATTTTTCACCAAAATTGAAAGAAATTTTTAATTCATTAATATAATTATTTTTTAACTGTATATTAGCTAGTAACTCGTTGACAAGTTTGTTTACTCGTAAAACAGTACAATTGAATTTGTATGTGGTTTATAGACAAGCGAATCGATTTGATCCTAAAATGATAAGTAAATTAAATAAAATGCAAGACTTAGCATTGAAATTGAGATAAGACAGTGAATAGTCTGATTCCGGGAGCTTTCGAAGGCAATAAGAGCAATATTTATAAGTAAGAAATAAAATGTTATTGAGCTTTTGAATAGTATGTAGCATAAGTTTGTTAGAAAATTCCTCCCACTACAATGGCTGTTGAAATCGCTATTTATAGTTGCACCTAGGGAACAAGGTCCTAGGATCAAGCTCCTCTTAAATGATAATTATAGGGGCTATTGAAGAATGTGTAACGGCAGGCTATGAATGCCATATTCTCTATAACGGACTATGTTTTTAATATTGCGGAATATTCTTCACTGAATGCTAATGGGTGGCAAGCATTCATTTGTCTTTATGAGCAACACTCTATTCGGGGGCTTCCCGGTGCCAATCAAAACTATTTCCCCCGGTCTCATTTTCCACCTGTATCACTTTTCATCTGTCTCCGATTCCACGTATCGCTCTATTATATGATTATTTAATACGAACTGATTTTACCCTATACAGATAGTCCCCCTGCTTTCCGGTGGCACATCTTTGTATCATCGGGAAGTTGATGAAGACACCTTTCTAGGGGGAAATGTTTTCGATCTTCTTTGAAAAGTTTCTGACGCTTGATTAGACGCATGTCTCTCCGCATTTAATGTCTCGAACACGCGTCACTCCACAATTCAGCAATATTTTTGCCGGTTCTCGAGGTAATCATGGCCACAATTTTAACCGCCTATTCCTTTACTTATACGCCTCATTCTCCTTCTTTCACACTTCATAATTTTTGGAAACCTCTCGGCTTTTCTTACTCAAATCTCTCTTGCTTTCATCTTTCTTTAACCTTCTTCTTCATAGAAATCCTCACTTCCTTCTACTAACTATGGCTTCCACTCGCAACAACTCCAATTCTTCAAAGAACAAGGAAATCACTGATGATGCTGCTCCTCCTACGGTGAGAACCATTATCTTCAGAAGGTTTAATACAGCCAAGGACTTTGAAGAGAAGTTCCCTTCTGCTAACTCCCGCACATGGGCTGTTGGCGTGTACCCTTCTTCCATCCGTCTTCCAGCATTCCTGCTGTGAAGAAAGACTGTGGTTGTCATGATTTGAACATCATCGCTCCTGATTTGGCGGAGCGAGTAACTTTCCCCAAGAAGGGTTTTACATACGTTTACACGTATCCCTTCACCTTGGGTCCATTCTCATTGAGCAGGGGACTTGATCCCGTAATTTTGGAGTTTTGCTACCGGTATCAAGTCTGCTTGGCACAGGTAATCCCCTCTGTGTGGCGGACGGTAGCTTCTCTACGGAGGCTATGCCAGGAGATGGGGTAAGACCTCTCCTTGGCACGTGTGATGAATCTTTACTCCCCCAAAATCTTCTGTGGGGGAGTGATAAACTTCAGGAAACATGGTCACCTTGCTTTGCTTACCAACATGGATGATGACAATGACCGCGGATGGATGGAGCGGTTCGTTGTAGTTGCCACCAGGGACATCATCTCGGACACAACTCCAGCTTTCCCCCAGTTATGGACTCGTACACGTAAGTTCGATGTCCATTTTTTCCTTGATCAAAGGTTGTTCCGTGTTGTTAATGATCTCTCTCTTCCCATTATTTCAGCAACTCGGTGGACACCTCCAAGGGTCGAAGACTTGGAGCAGTGGGTCTAGAAGATTCTGGATATTACCATGCCCGAGACCCGCCGGTGGAAAGAACTGGCCCTCAAATACGGGTGGAAGGCCAAAAATTATGGTAAGTTGATTCTTGAACTAATCTTGTTTCTACCTCGTGTATAAGAAAATTGGCTAACTTCTATTTTTGTTGAATTCAGGTCTTCCGCAGGGCTGTGTTACTGTCCCCGAGGAGGATGTTTTGGCTGATCCCACAGAGGTGGTGAGGTTGCTGCTGGAGGCTTTCACCCGAACGGGTTCCATCGGACCTGCTTTCGGTGCAGGTGTTTCTTTTCGGAGTCCCCGGTCGGAGAACAAGCAACCAAAAAGGCGACACTCCTCTAGGGCCGGGGTAAAAATAAAAGGGTGAAGAGTGCCGCGCCCGAGTCTGAACAACTAATATGGTGATCGATGACGAAGGGGAGGCCAGTGATGAAAGGGCTTCCCCACAAAGGAGATGCCGACCTTCATCGTCTAATTAGATCGCTCAATTTGTTGAGTTAATAACACCAACCGAGGACGATGTCCAAACGCTTTGGGGGGAGTGTGATATAGAAGAAGATGCCAACTCTCGCTTACGGGCCCTAGTTGCTGCTCCCGGTACCGTGAGGCAGGGTACCCGGCCTCTTCCGTCTTCGGTTGATGAGCAACCAATAACTAGTACTGCTTTTGCTGCAGCTGCTTTTCAACCCTCAATGCCATCAACTTTAGCTCCTTCTTCGCCAGCCATGCCTTCTTTACCAGCAACTGCTATATCATCGTCTCCACCGGGCGCAGACACTCGAGAGGAGGATGTCCCTCCTCCCCAGTCCCCGGTCCATGGGAATTTGGGGAGTAACAATTTGCCCCCTTCTGCAGATCCCCAGAGGAGGAGGAGCATTTCCCTCTCGATTTCCACCGAGTGCCATCTGCTGTCTCGGCCGGTGGAACTCGCCAATTATCTATAGCCTCTGGCTTAAGAGAAAGATAAGAATAAAATACAGTCTCTCTTGGGAGAGTGTATGATAAACAATGCCATGCACAATGCGGTAGTGGTACGCCATTTGTTCCCTTTACTGTTTTCTTCTAACTTCGCTATGGCATGATTTTTTATTTGAACTTTTGCTTAGCAAGCTAACTTTCTTGCTTCCGAGGGCCTTCAGAAGTTGATCCTTAATAAAAAAGAACTCACGTCCGAATGCGATCAACTGTTGGCCGGGCGGGAGCAAATTACTGCTCGTCTCCCGGTACTAGAAGCACAGTTTGTCGAAGCCGCTGAGTTGGAGGCTCGGGTTGCAGCAGAGTGAGCAAGAGGAGATGACCCTTAGCCAAAAGACTGCCCTGTTAAGGGTGAAATTTCAAGAGGCCAAGGCAAAGTGGTCCGAGGTCCAAAATGTTGTTCACGCTGCTGCCGAGTTTGAGGCTGCCTCTATTGAAAGAATAAATAATTTGGAGGCAGCCGTTGCTGCTGCTGAAGAGAAGCACACCTGGATGGAAGAGAGGTATAAGAGGGTCACATAGAACAATAAATTTTATAACTCCACTATCCGTGACCTTGACGTCATCCTTCAGGCTACCAGAGACGAGCGGAATAACCTTTCGGCCGAAGTTGACCAGCTTAAGGAAGAGTTTCAGCGCCGAGCAGACTCCCTCACTGTTGAGAAAACATATTCAATGTATAGCATGGGGAGAAAACACCTTGGAAGAGGCCAAAGCAGGTGTCATTGATTTTGATGCCGGGATTGCCAAGGCCGGTGAGTTGGAGACAACTGCCCGAAAGGGCCTCCCGGTCCAACCTGATGCAACTGACTCTTTTGGTTCCAGTTCTGCATTCTCAGGAACTAAGGTGGAACTTGAAGGGGATGACGATGAAGGTCAAGGTCCCGAGATGGTGGCA